CTCCCCCTCTCTCCCCTCCCCTCCCCTCCCATTCCACTTCCCTTTCCCTTTCCTTCTTCCTTCCTCCCTTCCTCCCTTCCTTCTTTCCTTCCTTTTTTCTTGAGAGATTTTTGCTATAGGGTGCATGTGGTTGCTTGTGACACAGAGAGAGAGAGAGAGAGAGAGAGAGAATGAGAAATCACTCCTCATGTTGGCTAGTCACGCCACAATCCTTTCTCCATTTTCCTCTTGGGATCTTTGGCACACATGCACTTGCACCTGGCATGAGTTTGAAGCCACTGGGGTCGTCACTTGAACCATGGTCAGCCGTGTGGGAGTCCAGAGCCTTAACCACTACACCACCTGCTGGACCCCAGTGTGACATTTCTAAGACTACCTCTTCTTAAAAACCACTGCTTCCTCTCTTGTCTTCTAATTCTTTAAATCCATGTGGTGTCAATCAAAGAAGCAATATACCTCGTTCCCCTTTGCCTGCATGATGCTTTCTTGTAAATGGGGCCCTGTTACTTAGCTCTCCAGTGGTCAAGTGACTCGGTGAGGAGTAGTGCACTGAGTTATCAAGAAAATTAAAAATAGTCTCTGCAACATGCACACATGCCACCTGGAACTTCTGTAAGCCAGTAGGGAGATGTGGAAATTGGCAGCACTTTTCAAAAACAGGGTAACTTGGGAGGCTGTATTCAATTTAGTTTGGATATTAAATGAATTAAAATGGACGTGCCCGAGTTATGAGCCTTGCCTCATCAGTGCTAAAAAAAGCCCTTTAGCAGGCTGTAATTTGACTCTTCTCTGTCGTATTTTGCAATCGTCCTATGGTTACAGAGCCCGGATAAGGGGAAGTTAATCATTAGCTTGCTAAATGTGGTTCATGGAACATTCACTCTCCCCAAACCTGCCAACTGCTGCTTGTTTAGTTTCACGTTCACCCTTTTCTTGGGTAGAAGTTAGTTTGTTCCTCCAAAAAATGTACAGTAAGACTTGCCTCACATCCAGGACCCATGCACTATGGCAGCTCTCCATGCGTGTGGGGACAGCCAGGGAAAAAGGTCATGCTAAGCAGTTTTTGATACATACCCTTATGCAGGAAGAAACTATTTAGGAAGTGTGAGATGACGAAAGAAAAGAAAAGAAAAGAGAGAGAGAGAGAGAGAGAAAGAGAGAGAAATGAATGAATTAAAGCTGCAGAGGTTTTGGCCATTTCAGAAAATCACTTTCTTAAAAAAATTTGCTTCAGGAAGTGCATTCTTGCCAGAGAGAAACAGAGGAGGGGAGAGAGGGAAAATGAGAAATCATCTCCCAAGGGGTATGTATAGCCACATGGCAGCCCCTTCTCCAGTTATCTTCCTCTTGGGATTTTGAGCATACATACACACCTGGTATGTTTTTCAAACCACTGGGTCCTTGAGTCAGCCATATGGGATCCAGCACCTTAACCACCACACCACCTGCTGGCCTCCAGAAATCACATTTTTAAACTTTTCTGGAATTCACTATGATTTAGAACTTTATGGCATTTCCCACTTTGTGGTCCCAGAAATAAAACCATGCTCTTTAGATTTTTCCTGGTTTGTTTCATATAATAAGAAAAACTCCTTTATTGCCTGGGTCACCTGCAGACATCACCCAGGTGCTCTGCCTTTATCAGCTGCATGTGCTTTGAGCGGGGCCCTTTCCTCTCTGGTCTCCCACTGACATACTGACAGAGGTAGATTTGTGCCTTTACCTGGAGGGTAGTGAAATGCTTAAGCCATTTATGAGTGTTTGGCCTCTCCCTACCAGGATGAAAGTGGGTCTTTCCCAGTAAATAGCAGCTGTATCATGCCCACCTGTGGCTCATTCTCTTTTATTGGCTGAAGGCTGTTGGTCCTGCAGGAGGAATCTTTCTTAGCTGATGTCCCAGAATTCTTGGGGACGGTCTAGAAAGACATTCTGGCGACTGTTCACATGATACACCATCTAGATCTCGTTGGATTGTAAAGGAGCAGAAAGCCTATCTTAAACTGGTTTAAGAGGAATAAAGGGAATTTTTTGGCTCTCCCGATTAAAAAGGCATGGCTAGATACAGGACTCGAACAGCCCTCAGAGCTGCTGTCTCTCTTGGGCTCACTCTCAGACTCCCAGTGGTAAAACCGGACAGTTCCGTAATCTCTCAGGTGTAAGTGCAGCAAGCAGGAGCTATCTTTTTCCCCGTCTCCTGGAAAAGTCCTGAAGTTCACTCTGAATGGGCTGGTTTAGGTCCTGGGCTATTCCTGAAGCAGTCAGTGGGTGCAGCAGGTGGTATGCTTTTGATTGCTTGGAGCTGAATCTCATTCCCCACCTTGGGAAGAATAAGAAAAGGCTAACTCCCCAACTGAAGATGAGGCACTACATGGAAGGAAAAGGGAACAGGAGCTAGTGGGCCCACACTGATCTCTAGACAGTTTGAAGAAGCTGGTTTGTCACTGGAACGTGATGGAAGACTCCACTGCCCTCCTGCCAGTTTGTGTGTGACCCAACCCACTTTGCCTGCAGCAAGATGGGGTTCTGACTTGGGAAGCAGTTCATACTCCCTGAGCTCTGCCTTTTAGTCTCCCCGGTTTGTGTACTCTTCAGAAGACTAAAGGCATTCTCCCTCCTCTTCATTTATAATACAGGTTTGCTGAAAATTCACACATTTGGTTAAAAACTCCACACAAGAGGAGACAAAAGGAGAAAGGAACAAGAGTTGATGATGTATTTATGTATTTCTTACTGCACATCTAGGATCAAGGCAGTTTTCAACAGTATGGAAAAGTCATGGAATCAAATCAGAGACAGTTTAGAAACTATAAAAACTACAGTTCTACCTCTTTAACCCAACCATTATTATTTTTTTTTTAAAGAGAGATTTTTGCTATAGGGCACATGTGCTCGTCAGAAAGACAGATAAGCGAGAACTCAACTCCAGGGGGAATAGCCACACTACAATCTCTTCTCCATTCTTTTGGCATTTGAGGCATGCACACACACACACATGCCCGGTGTGAGCTTTGTTTGTTTGTTTGTTTTTTTGAGAGTTTTTTGCTATAGGGTACGTGCGCTCACCAGAAAGACAGAGAGAGACAGCAAGCAAGAAATCACCCCGCTGGTGGATTGGCTACACCACAATCCCTTCTCCTCTTGGGATCTTAGGCATGCATGCGCACACACCTGGCGTGAATTTAAGCCACCAGGTTCGGGACTCAAACCATGGTCAACTACATGGGAGTCCAGTGATATAGCCATTATGCCAACTGCTGGTCCCAGACCGGTGTGAGTTTTAAGCTGCCAGGTTTGGGCCTCGAACCGTAGTTGACTACATGGGAGTCCAGCAATGTAACCATTACACCAACTGCAGTCACAACCCAAGCACTACTTTAATTTTAGAGTATTTCTTTCAGTCTTTGTTTATATGAGTTTCTCAGAAACTTATATACACTGATTTTTTAAAAAACTACATAATGCAGGCATTTTTTATGATGCTATTTAGTTGTCATCATCATAAATGCCAACATAATATTCCATCAGGGAGACATACTGTCATCAGATAATTCACTTAGCCATCTTTCTAACATTGGACATTCATTTTGTCTCCTTTTTTGTTTTTTTCTACTGTTGTAGAGAATAGTATGCTGAACATTTCTGTGATATGCAGTTTTTTTCATGTCCTATCTTATTTCCCGAGGATAGATTGTGAGAACAGGGATTACTGGTTCAGATAGCATAAACATTTTTAAGACTCTTGATACATATTGCCAAATGGCTTTTCAAAACGGTTGCATTTCTCTCTGTTGCCTCCAGTCATTTATGGGAGGATCCCTTCACTACATTCTTTCCAAAATGGATACTTGGGTATGTTTTAACATTTTCCTGATTTAGCAGGCAAAATAGATAAATAGCTAAATAAAAGTATTCTTATTTAAATTTCATTTCTCTGGTTACTAGCAAGGTGAATGCTTTTACATGTGCTTGTTAATTAGCACTGTATGTAATGCTACACTTTATACATTGTCTTTTCTTCATTATAGATCCCAAAACAGCATCTGAGACAGAAACAGATATCTGTGCCGAATGGGAGATAAAGACCATCACTAGTGCTCTGAAGACCTACCTAAGGTAAGGACTTCCCATTTGCAGGGCAGAGTGCTTGCTACTTACCATGCAATCAGGAAGAAAGCAGTTTAATTTTCAGCCTCCAGAGAGCTATTGAGTGGGTGTCTGAGATGTGGAAACAGCTTCTGTGTGGGTGCATTTAGTTCTTCTGGTTAAACCAATTGCAAATCAGCCATAGTTGATGGGTTGCCACTCTGCATTGGTGCCATGGGTGATTGTGGAAGCCTTGCTCTTTCTGAGAAGCACTGCCATAATGAGCCTTGGACAGAACCTGAACTTTTGGTCTTTGCTGAATACTCTGTTAAACACACACATACACACACACACACACACACACACACACACAGGAAGCCATATATCACATTCTCTTGAGGATGCGGCATTACATACTTCATGTATTGTGATACATCCTGCCACACAGAATATAGTCTTTGCATTGGTCCTTAAAAATGAGAACACAATGGAACTCCATTTTGACTCCCTCTACTTAGATTGGAAACTCTTACCTTATTGAAGGAACTATTTTTCTTATACTGATATGTATGATGTTACTGCTCCCTCTTTACCTCTACCCTTAGTTATCCAGGGCTCAGTTATTGACCACCTGTCTGCATCTCAGTTTCATGCTGGACTTGAAGGGATATTGTGGTTCTGTACTGTACTTCTTATGTAGGAAGGGAGGCTCTCGTCTTAAATGGAGAAGGGAATTGTAATCATGAATTCTGTAAGACTTTGTCTGGGTTTTGTGAAGATTCATTTGGTTGGAAGGCTAAAAAGGAAGGCTACAGAAAAGAATTAGTAATGCAGGTTTTATTGGCTATCAGGGAACTGAAATCAAGAGTGAGATGCAGTACAATTGATGACTAAGAGTCGAATTAGGGGATCTCAGAGAATAAAATCCGAGCCCTAGGGCCAGCAGTGGCATAGTGGTTAAGGTGCTGGACTCCTACATGTCCGACTGCAGTTCAAGTCCCAGACCCGGCAGTTTGAAAATCATGCTGGGAATGGGTGCATGCATAACCAAAATTCCAAGAGGAGAATGGAGGAGAAGGGATTGTGGTGTGGCCATGCCCCCAGGGAGTGATTTATCACTTTCCATTTCTCTCTTTGTCTCTCTCCAGCAAATACACACATTCTGTTGGGGGTAGGGCTGTTGGAGGGGAGTACTGAGCCCTGAACGAATCATTATACATTGTATTCTTGTACTATAAAATCATACCATACCCCCACATATATGTGAAGTTATTATATGTTAATACAATTTAAAAAATGAATAGTGTACCCTCTGTCAAGATGCTCATTATTTAGACTATCAGAAAAAAATTTAAGTAGCATATTTATACTCAGCAGGTACAATTTGGTTGGATCATGCCTAATGTTAGGGGTTCTAGCCCTTTGGCATTCCGGAGTAACACTCCATAGTGAATTCACTGTAGAAACACCTACAGAATTCTCTTTTAGTGTTTCCAGATGAACTGATTCTAAACAACCAAGCTGGTGGAAAGACGAACGTTTACACACAGGTAATTGCAAATGTGTAGTTAGTTGCCTGTTTCTCAGACATATCGTGAGTCACGGACTGAAAAGGAAATCTCTTGGTGTGTGCTAGACTTTTGCATTAGCACTTTTCTAGCTGTGATTATGAAACATAGTTGTATCTACTCTAGTAAAATGGAATGGAATTTCAGGTGAAATCTCAGGACCCTTTTCAATGAGGAAACTAAGTTGAGTTGCTGTTGTTTCCCTGCGATCTTTGTTTTTGAGAAACGTAATACAGTTTGGCAGTCACCAGGCTGCTGGTGAGGATATGATTTCATTATTAAGCTGACACGTGAATGGCTTTTGATTCCAGAATGCTTCCAGGACCACTCATGATGTACCAGTTTCAAAGAAGTTTCATCAAAGCAGCAAGTAAGTATTTTTTTGTTGCCATTAGGACAATAGAGTTTTCTATTTCAAAGAACAGTCAGTATCTCTAAATACTATATAACTCTGTATATCTTGCATATGCACTGCCCACATACAAGTCCAGAAGGCTCTGGCACAGAATAAGAATGAAACCAAATTGAGATTGCTGAAGGCTGTGCTGCCACGTTGAATTGAGAGTAGAGGAGAGAAACTTCAGAAGTGTTTGCTTCTAGAGGAGGGGGCTGCAGAAGGGGAGAGAAGAACAGGTTTGCCTTGCTGGTTTCGATTACTGGAGTTCTAACTTCTTAGGTTGTTTTCAGTCTTCGAGTAGTGTTTTGTAGAGTGAATCAGACATTGCATGTTACCTAAATTGAGCATTGGAAGTGTTTCCCTTAATACAACACCTTTTATATAACTTCACGGTTCTCTTTCCATCATGTCTTCCATTTACAGCTTCTGATCACTCTTCAACTCTATCATCCCAGACCCTAGCATCACATTACTGGTATTAAAATACATAGGGATTAGATGCAAGCTACCCTAAGTATCCTGGAAGCTGTCTACGTAGGGCAGGCCTCCTGGAAGGGGGCAGTTGGATTTTTCTATCAGATTTAAATCTGGCAGGAATCCTCTGGCAGGAATCCTCTCAGTATTATTGTGTTGATAATTTATGCCTTTTCCCGGTTCCTTTCAACCTTTAGAGTTTATTTACCCTGGTAGCTACTACTAGTCTAATTTAGTAGTACCTTATGTTCTAGTAGCCTTACCTACTCATCGTTGTCCCCTTAAAACAGGGAGGAGAAAGACTTGGGAGAAATTTGGGAGCGAAGAGACTGTTTATATTATTTCTTCTTCAGAGAAATTCCAAACTCATAGCAACCATTTTCTAATTAAACTCCACATCAGTCCTATAAATAAGTGCGATGAGTACCATCAACTTATTTCCCAGAGAAATGAAGCCACTTACTCAAGTTCAATCAAGAGAACATGATGGGTTGTGATTTAAGTTATAGGTTGGCAGAAAGACATCGATATTTTATCCATTATTGCTGGCTTTCTACTAGACTGGTCGTCTTACAGCACCTGATAATAGCGGGCACTTCCTTTGATTTCTTTGATGCTGTCTCGAGATGGTATTTTGATATATGAGACTCTTGCAGTGTTGTTCATGTAAGATTTGTTTATCCCTTAACGAGTGCATAAAGTTCCTTCTTTCCTTGAAATGAAGTTGGCCCTCTAGGGAGCCAGCTGCTCCTGAGTCGTTCCTGTTCTGGGTGTGCAGTTGACTGGCATCGTTTCATCATATCATCATTTTGGCTTGGATTTTTTTTTTTTTTTTAACTTTTGCTGGAGAGTGTGTGTGCTTACCAGAGATGGGAGTGGGGAAGAGGATGAGAAAGCACCACCCTCCTACCGTCCCCATCCCTGTTTGGTAATGGTCATGCCACCATCCCTTCTCCTCCATTTCACCTTCTAGGATTTTTGGCATACATGTACATGGGCCTGGCATGTTTGACAAGCTGCTTGGGATTTGAACTGTACAGTTGTCCATGTGGGATCCAGCCACCTTTACCACCATTCTGCTGGCTGGCCCTGGCATGGATTATTTTGATGTTTTATTTTAGATGAACCCTGTTATAGAAAGCACTGTTAAAAGAACTTCTGAATCTCTTGATGCTGATCATGCCATCCACGAGCAAGATAAGATTATAAATCTTTGAGAAAGTCTTAGTCTGTTGGTACCCAATCTTTGGTTTGCCTTGATTTTGTCTTCTAAAGTGGGTTAACCAAGACACTGATAAAATATTACCTCCCTCACTCCTTTGCAGAGCTGGAAAACCAAGAGTCTCGGGTCTCCGAAATCCACAGCCTTGTTCATCGGCTCCCAGAGAAAAATCGACAGATGTTACAACTGCTCATGAACCACCTGGCAAAGTAGGCTTAAGATAGATTTCTGGCCCTTTTCTCACCCCAGAAAGTTCTTATCTTAGCAGTAAAGCTGGTCTGAGTTCTGCTTGTGTTTCTGTGTCCCACTATTGCATCAGGTATGCTGGAGGCTTGGGAAAGAAATGTCTGAAATGTTCACTGCAGTGCATAAAAGCAGCAAATGCCAGATGGCCTTCACAGGGGAGACTGGGGAAGTGTTCATGTGACCAGGCCACCAAGCAGAGTTTGCAGAGGGATTTTATTCTTCTGATGATCAAGGGCAAACTGGAGTGTGTCATCAATGATACCAAGCCACCACACGGAGTTTCAGGGCTTATATGTTCTTGTGATGAACAAAGACAAACAGGAATATGTTGTGGGTTTTCTTGGAACTTGGATTTGGAGTACATGGACCTGTATTCTGGAGTTCACTCCTTTCTAAGCAGTCCACTTAAGCAGCTCCAGAGAAACCACAGAACCTGCTTCTATCCATAGTTTCTCCTCTTGTCAAATATGGTTAAGAGACTCCCGTTTAGCGGCAAGGTCATTGATATTAAAAGTTACAAATATAAAAGTTTTCGAAGAAGAATAGAAAATGAAATTATTTGTGACATGCCTACTTGCTTTCTGAGCTAGTCAAAGCAAAGCATGCAGTGGGGGCCTGATGTTCCTAGTAGGAGTATTTATGACTCTTGGAATGGTTTTGAGTTTTAGTGTATTTTGTTGTTGCTGGGCCCTTTTGGGAATGGCCTTCTGAGTTCCCTTGCTGTGTCATCCACTACCTATATGCATGTTCTAGCCTTCCATTGACGGATGTTCTTGGCTGTGGTCTGGAGCATAAGAAAAGAATGAGAATATGGCATCTACCTTGAATTTGTTTTTTTAAGAGATATTTGCTATAGGGTGCATGTGCTCACCAGAGAGACAGAGACAGAGAGCAAGAAGGTGAGAAATTACCTCCCAGAGGGGATGGCCACACTTTATTTAGTCCCTCCGCTTACGTTCTCCTCCTGGGATTTTTGGCATGCACAATCATGAGCCTGGTATGAGTTTCAAGCCTTCAGGTCTGAGACTCAAACCACGGTTGGCCATGTGGAAGTCCAGAGCCTTATCGCTTCTCAGCCTTTTGGCTAAGAACAAGTGTGAAGTCCAGAGCCTTAATTACTATTCCACCTGCTGTCCCCAGTACCATGCGTTGTTAAGCCCTGTATTCTACTGAAGTGTTCAGTACATTTGGCCTTTACCAGAACTTGGCTCATGCCATTAAATCATTTCTTTAGCTGATACTGTTCTGAGGAAGATTGTAACAGCTACAATAGTTTCCATATTTCTGTCAAGCACTTGATAATACCTTTTGAAGGAGTGTTTTTTTTTGTTTTTTTTTTTTTGGAGTTCACTCCTTTCTAAGCAGTCCACTTAAGCAGCTCCAGAGAAACCACAGAACCTGCTTCTATCCATAGTTTCTCCTCTTGTCAAATATGGTTAAGAGACTCCCGTTTAGCGGCAAGGTCATTGATATTAAAAGTTACAAATATAAAAGTTTTCGAAGAAGAATAGAAAATGAAATTATTTGTGACATGCCTACTTGCTTTCTGAGCTAGTCAAAGCAAAGCATGCAGTGGGGGCCTGATGTTCCTAGTAGGAGTATTTATGACTCTTGGAATGGTTTTGAGTTTTAGTGTATTTTGTTGTTGCTGGGCCCTTTTGGGAATGGCCTTCTGAGTTCCCTTGCTGTGTCATCCACTACCTATATGCATGTTCTAGCCTTCCATTGACGGATGTTCTTGGCTGTGGTCTGGAGCATAAGAAAAGAATGAGAATATGGCAGCTACCTTGAATTTGTTTTTTTAAGAGATATTTGCTATAGGGTGCATGTGCTCACCAGAGAGACAGAGACAGAGAGCAAGAAGGTGAGAAATTACCTCCCAGAGGGGATGGCCACACTTTATTTAGTCCCTCCGCTTACGTTCTCCTCCTGGGATTTTTGGCATGCACAATCATGAGCCTGGTATGAGTTTCAAGCCTTCAGGTCTGAGACTCAAACCACGGTTGGCCATGTGGAAGTCCAGAGCCTTATCGCTTCTCAGCCTTTTGGCTAAGAACAAGTGTGAAGTCCAGAGCCTTAATTACTATTCCACCTGCTGTCCCCAGTACCATGCGTTGTTAAGCCCTGTATTCTACTGAAGTGTTCAGTACATTTGGCCTTTACCAGAACTTGGCTCATGCCATTAAATCATTTCTTTAGCTGATACTGTTCTGAGGAAGATTGTAACAGCTACAATAGTTTCCATATTTCTGTCAAGCACTTGATAATACCTTTTGAAGGAGTGTTTTTTTTTGTTTTTTTTTTTTGAGAGGTTTTTGCTATAGGGCACGTGTGCTCACCAGAAAGACAGAGACAGAGAGACAGAAAGTGAGAAACCATCCCCTGGGGGGGATGGCCACACCGCAGTCCCCTCTCTTCCACTCTCCTCTCAGGATCCTGGAAAAGCAGGCACATGCGCCCAGCATGAATCTAAGCCACCAGGTCCAGGACTTAAACTACGGTTGGCCACATGGGAGTCCAGTGACATAGCCATTATCCCAACCGCTGGTCCCTTGAAGGAGTGTGTTTGTATCATAATAATTTCCATAGTCCTTCATTACGAAAATGCAAGAGTGTTTTGTGTTGGGGGCAGGAAGCAGTTGGACAGAGTCAAAGGTTGACTCCATTCCATTTTTTTTTTTTTTTAAGTTTACTTAGTTCCTGAGAGAGAGATACAGCCCCCCTGACAGAGTCTTGACTCCACGGTCTAGCCTCATCTTCAGCTAGCCCAGATCATGGGCACACATGTGCCTGGAAGCCTCAGGAAAGTCTCTGTACATGAACCAGCAACTCCCATGTTGGTCTGCCTCTCAGAGCATGGTTTTACTGCCATGCCACTATCTGAACCTGCCCCACTGTGGGTCAGTCTCCTTGTTGTCCCATATCCCCATATCAAAACTGCTTGTGCAGGAACAATTAAGAAGCATAGTGGAGAACATGGAAGTATGCAGGGAGAATGCCGCCAGAATGTCAGAAAATCCTTATGAACTGCATTTAAAATAATGGGAATTGGGTTTTTCAGTTTTTTTTTTTTTTAAATGATTTTTGCTACAGGACGTGTGCATTCATCAGAGACAGAGAAAGTGAGAAATCACTCCCTGGGGAGATGGCCACGCTGCAATTCCTCCTCCATTCTCCTCTTGGAGTTCTGTTCTGGGCATGCTTGCACATGTGCGTGGCATGATTTTCAAGCTGCCAGATATGGGACATGAAACACAGTTGGCCATGTGGCAGTCCAGTCCCTTAACCACCGTGTCACCTGCTGGCCCCTGGGAACTGAGTTTTAAAAAGGAACTCTAGATCCTTTCAGATGACAGTTTGGTGTCTATTGTACACAACCCAGAGTCAAGCATTTGTTAAACCCACAGACCTGGTTTAGATCTTAGTTGCAAAGCTTTGCAAAACTGCACACTCAGAGGGCATGTTTCAAAGCAGAGGAGGTTCTAGGAACGCACTGAAGCCAGCTTGTGTGTCGGACACTCGTGACTAGGTCTTGAGGAGGCCTTCAAGCCTGCTGGGAGCGGTCGAGGACAAGGTTTAGGAACCAGCTGAAATCAGTGGGTCTTTTCAAGCTGAGCAATTGGAATGAGAGCTTAATTGGACTGAGAGAGACCAAGCATGAATGGTGATCCAGCAGAGCTGCTATTGAATTTCTTCTATTTGTAAATTGCCCTGAGGGTTGTTAGAACTCTTTAAAGAAAGAAAGAAAAAGGTTCATAAACAAAACTCTTAAGGTAGATCTTGAACAGGGAAGCTTATTCATGTCCTATTGGATGGTTCATTTCTCTCTTTTTCTTTCCCCTAATCCCAGTAAATTTGGTCCATCTTTGTTCCCAAACTAAGGTGTGGTAAATTGGAATATATAAGTTACAGCTGTGACCTCGACTTTCTGCCTTCTCATCAGCTCAAATCATTTTGTTGCTGGAGTTATTTATTTCATAACATTTCTGGTGCTTATGTCTTATTTTTAGTACCGACTGGAGAATGATTTTCTTTGGTTTTAAGGCATTTCTTTGTTCATTTAATCATCAAGAAATCTATGCATAGGGATAGCCAGTGGTGTGGTGGTTAAGGCAGCTGGATCCCACATGGCCAGCTTGGAAAAGGTGCAGGGCATGCACGTGTGCGTGCCCAAAATCACAAGAGGAGAATGGAGTAGAAGGGACTGTAGCGTAGTAGCCATTCCCCCTGGGGGGTGGGGGGGTTGGGGGAAGTATGTATAGCCAAGCTCTCAGACTGTACTGTGAGCTGGTCAGAGCTGATGTTAGAACACACAGGCTGGGGCCAGCAGGTGGCATGGTGGTTAAGGGCTTCGGACTCCTACATGACTGACCGCAGTTCAAGTCCCAAACTTGGCAGCTTGTTTTCTCACTCTCTCTTTCTCACTCTGTGCCTCTCTGATCAAATGAAAATAAATAAATAAAGTTAAATAAAACAATTATTTAAGGAAATAAAGAAAAAAACATACAGGCTTTATTTCTCATCATACTGTGTTCTTGGTGGGCAGAGCCTCTGAATTTAAGAGTCTTGAGGAAATGGGTGTAAAATCACTGTTGAAGCCAGTAAAGAGTATTTATTTCAGGTCTGGAAAAAAAATATGTCCCCCAAAAATTTGTGTGCTGAAATTTGGTTGTGGTGAGCTGAAGAGGGTGAAATTGTAATCTCACTATGGAATGAAGAAGTGGAGCCTGTGGAAGGGGGCCCCATGATTTAATCTGGGTGCAGGCAGACACAGACATGTGTGCTCATGCTCTGTTTCACATACGATGCTCTGTGTCACCTCTGTGGAGAGTTCTCACCAGCAAGAAGACCCTCAGGAGGTATAGCCCCTGGGCCCCCAAACTGTGAGGTGACTAAACCTCTGTTAGTTTTCAATTACCCAGGCTCAGTTATTTCTGTTATCAGCAACCCAACAGACTGACCA